TCCTGCTTCAGCTGTTTGTTACAAGATAATTTATAAATAAATGCTGCATGAAAAGTAAGGCGATTGTACTCACATGGTATGTCGAGGTGGTACCCATGATAACCTAGGGTGCAAGATTAATACAGCAACTATAAAAGCTATATAGTCTGCAGGAAAAAAGTATTCTTCCTGGTATCTCTAAAAGCCCTGAATTCAGTTTAATCTTTTGGCAGTTGCATGTCATAACAAGTTTTACAGAGAGAAGCACAGGCTCTAGTAATCAGCTGATAGCCTATTTTCAACTTCCTACCCCTGGATAGAAAATAAAATAGTATTTTATTTGTTGACATCTGTGAATTGTACTTTGCATTGTTGCAGTACTGTCATTCTGAAGTGACCCAGAATTTATTATCTACGTGGATGCTGGTCAGTTTGATTAGCGATCAGCTCTCAAAGTTGTGATAATATATCAAAATGATTGATGTTATATTTAGTCTGATTAATACTCCATATCTGTACTCATGAGGAAGGTGAAAGTATGATACTCCATTAAATATGGGAATAGAACTCACCTGGTGGTATGAATGCAGGTGATAGAGCTTTGCCATGTAATCCTTCATGAATCGTTCTGTTTTACAATGCTAGTCTCACTTAATTGTCCCAGTAATATTTGTTAAAGCTATATAAGGATATGTTCTTCATCTGAGATTAAAATCAAGCGTTTGAAAGTTTAACCTTAACAAGAACCTGAAGTTTGGAACATGTCTAGACTACTAGAGGCAGTCTCATAATGAATTAACAATGGTAAAGCTGGTGTCATTTAAAGACTTCCTTAGTATGTTTCAGAGTAGTTTAATATACAAGATTTCTCTCTCACCTCAAGTTCCTACCAATAGAAAGTGTAAAGAAATCTGAGCTACTACACTGGTTTCTCCTTCCAGCTCCTCCAGCACATGCTTGTCTGATGCGTGTTTCTGTCTGGCTTAAGGTGCCGTTTAGATGCTCTAGTGAATAAAGCTGGATGCCATACTGACTTGCATGTATCTACAGGAATTAGGAGGTGGGAGAATAAGTCAAAACATTCCTAGATCCTCTTCTCTCCCAGTGCCTTGAAGGGTTTTTTGTTAGGGTTTTTTCCCCTTTTTTTCATTACTATATTTTAATGATTGCTGTGGACTTCAAATCTTATTGATTTCAAATCCACTTGAAAACTTATTGATTTGAAGAAAACCTTGCCCTAGCAAGCAAAAAAATAGTCTATTTGGCTTATTTTTCTGGTGACTGAAGCCAGAAGCTGTTGAGCAGCCAAAGGGTATTCAGAAGAAGCATAGCTTACATCTACAGAATTCACCCATAAAACTCAGTTGCTCCATGTGTGTAATTTATTAGCCATAAAAAAAAAACCCAAACAAAAAAACGTATATGTATACACACACATATCATTCTGTGTGGTCTATACACTGTTTGCTAAAATGAGGTTTTTATTTCTAACAGCACTTTCTGGATGTTACCACTTAGCGCACAAAGACTTGATTTAATACTTTTGACTCAGCAGATACTTCTACTGACCTTAGCTGTGCTTCTTACCAATTGCACAGTTAGAATTTATACTAGCAATACTTGGAAGAGCATTGTAGACAGCATCTTTTTAAAAAACGTTGATTCACATTGTTTGGGAACTTAATGGTCAAATTGTACGTTGCTTTGCACTTTGACAGAAGTTCATCCTCTCTCCCCAACACCGCCATCAACAAATTAGAGAATGATTTATGCCAGTAACTGAGCCTGTGCAACTGCATTTTTTGCATTACAGAAAATCTGCTCAATGAGATCAGTAAAAAAAACCCAAACATTGTTATAAACAAATGTGACTACAAGATTGTATCATACTGGTGTGTTGTCTTCAGCATATGTACACAAAAACATTGCAATCACAAAGCTGGTAAGATTAAATATATCACTCTGGAAAATGCATATAAGTGATAATTCACAAGTCTCCCATTTCCTGCCATTCATGTTCTCTTTCTCTCTCTGCCCCCTTGCAAAAAGAGGAAAAAGATATTGTAAAAATCCCAAACCATAAAATGGCAGATTCACAACATTCACAAATATTTCCTGAGTCAAGGGAAAAACTGCCAACAAAATGACTTCATGCTTCATAAAGTTTTAATTTTTATGCTTGGACTGGAGAATTGATGATCCTACTGTGTTAAAGCATATGCCACTTGATTGATGAGTCACTGACATTTGGTTTTTAGGAGAGGATGAGAACACTCAGTTCAGTTGTACCCTTTCTGAAGTGTGAAATCGGATCCCCCTTTGGGTATTATATTAGCATGTTATTCTTAAGATCAAGTTTAATAACTTCTTTTGAATATCCCAAAGGTTAAATTTGTTCTGAAAGTGACCTCTTACTGTCAATGCCCCAAAACACATTTTGTGGAAAGAACCCCCAATTTTTACAACAATGTTTAGTATATTACATCATCATCTTTCTAAATCTGCTGAAAAATGGATGGTATGATAGCATCCAGAGATTTAAGTAATGCCTTACTTCCTTTCTGCTTCTGTGTGAGGAGAAAGTTGCAGGTAGTGTTCTATATGATAAGAAATAGACTTGTATTTTTAATGTCCTTTTATGCATTTAAGGTCCCTCTAGACCACAATTTAAAGTTAAGGTGAGAACAGTTCTATAGAGGAAAGGATATTTCCATCTTC